CTAAAGAAACTAATTTTCGTTTCTCGGCTTTCCCCTGATCAAACATCTTCTGATGTGTTGTCTTATATACAAGACAAAACTAAAGCCGATTGTAATAGTGTAAAGGTGGAAAAGTTTAAGTTTTTTTATGCTAGAGACATTTCATCTTTCAAGATAACTGTCCCTAACGAGCTTTTTGAAGCCATATGCTCGGGCGACTTTTGGCCGGATAATATGGTTGTAAAAGAGTTCGAGGCAAGCTCACTAAATTGTATTCCGATAGCCTTTCCTTTGCATTTCATATTATTGTGTTTACAGAAACCTGGTTAAAGCCGGAGATCTTTAGCTCCGAGTTGATTCAAACCTCCCGTCTGAGGAGTTATTTTTTGATGAATTCAATACCATTGAATTTATTTGTGTAAAGTTATCGCTTCCTGATAACTTTACATACATAACTTGCTCATATATTCCGCCGTTGTCTGAACTTCCTGATTATTTAAATCACCTTTCCGTTATTAAGTCTGTTGCAAATAAGCTTTCCACTAAGGATGGATCGAATGTCTTACTACCTATAGGACAGCATGATTTTATTGACGGCCTGCTTGACATATCTCTATCTCAAGTAAACCATGTTCGAAATTCATTAGGTCGCCTACTTGATTTGTGTTTTGTATCAAATCCTGAAGGTGTGTTTGCGTCCAGTGTAGCACCACTCACGCAACCTGAAGATCCTTATCACCCTACAATCGAACATTCATTTGATACGGGTAGAGTTATAGAAGAAAAATCAGAAAAATCCAAACGAATACATTGTTTTCGCAAGGCAGACTTTCTGAGGCTAAATAATTTTATTTCTGGCCTTAATTGGTCTGATCTTTACTTATGCAATAATATGTCCGATGCAGTTAATGTTTTTTACACTGCAATAAATTCATTTTTTAATTCCTGTGTTCCGTGGTACTATCCGTCAACTTCCAATAAATCACCTTGGTTTAGCAAAGAGTTGACACAGTTAAGAAATTTAAAGTCCAGACTTTTTAGGAAATATAAAAATACCGGTTCTCAATCTGTTTTTACTAGATATTTAAGTGCTCGGTCACGATTTACCGTGCTTAATGCTCAGTGTTATAATAGTTACTTAAGCCGTTGTAAGGTCCAGTTCTCTCAGGACCCGAAACAGTTTTATAATTTTGTTAACACCAAGCGTAAATCTAATTCTTTTCCTTCCTCGCTGTCGTTCGAAAACATGACGGGAACCACAGATCAGGCAATAGCCGATATATTTGCCCAATTTTTTCAAACGACTTACTCTACTTTAGATTATTCATCACAGCCTTATTCTTACACCATGTCCAAGTCAAACCTCATATTCTGTCCCACTTTAACAGAAAGCTCTCTTCTTTTGGATCTTCTTCGTATTAAGCCTGTTTATTCGCCAGGGCCCGATGGTATTCCTGGGTGCGTGCTTATGTATTGCGCTAAGGCCCTGTGCAAACCTCTTCACAAGTTGTTTACCTTATCTCTAGAAACCTCCCAATTCCCAAATATTTGGAAGGAATCATTTGTTATTCCTCTTCTCAAAAAAGGTAACAAGTTAGAAGCCAGTAACTACAGAGGTATTTCTAAGTTGTCAGCTATTCCTAAGCTTTTTGAAAAAATTATTACTCCTCATTTGCAGCACCTTTGCAGATCAATCATTTCTCCGTGTCAACACGGATTTATAAAACGTAGATCCACAATCACAAACCTTCTAGAGCTCACTTCATTTGTGATAAAAGGCTTCAATAGTAGTTTTCTAACAGACGTCATTTACACTGACTTTAGTAAAGCATTTGACTCTGTAAATCACTTACTTCTCATTCAAAAACTTGACCTTTTAGGTTTTCCAGTTGATCTGCTTAAATGGATTTCAAGTTATCTAAATGGCAGGTCACAAAGGGTCCTTTTTAAAAATTCAATTTCTGAAATTCTCCGTGTTACCTCCGGTGTCCCACAAGGGAGCCATCTGGGTCCGTTACTTTTTACATTATTAACGATCTTCCATCAATTATAAGTCATACTCGCGTACTTATGTACGCAGATGATGTTAAGTTGTGCCTGCAGTATAAGGACATTTCCTGCCATTTAGACTTGCAATCCGATCTAGATAATTTTCAAAACTGGTGCCGAGTTAATTTACTAAATTTAAACGGTTCCAAGTGCAAGCTGATGACTTTTTATCGGGCCAATCCGATATACGCGACTTACACGTTAAGTGGCAGCTCTTTGGATAGAATAACTCTTGAAAACGATCTTGGCGTCCTCTTGGACCCTCTTGGACCCTAATCACATTTCGTCCATGGTTAATAAAGCCAGAGGAGTGCTTGGATTTATTAAAAGGTGGTCAAAGAATTCGATGATCCTTATTTGACTAAAACTTTATTTATTTCGCTAGTCCGTCCGATTCTGGAGTATGGGTCTCCGGTCTGGAGTCCACAATACGGAATACATATTGGTCGTATTGAATCTGTACAAAAAAACTTCCTTCTTTTTGCTTTACGGCGCCTAAACTGGGATGCAAACCTTATCTTACCTTCTTATTCTAGTAGACTTCTTTTGATTAATTTACCATCCCTAGCCAACCGTAGAACGATGCTTGGTACTATCTTTATTTATAACCTTATACATGGTGATATTGACTGCCCCGACTTGTTAAGTCGGCTAAACTTTTCTGTTCCAAGTAGATTAACTAGAAATTATTTTCCCTTAATTGTAAATCATTGTAGATCTAACTATGCCTTGCATGAGCCTTTCAGAGTATTATGTTCTGACTATAATAGACTTTTTCCTGTAATATCAAATCTTGACTCTCTGCCGCTCCTAAAACGATTGATACTTGCTTCATTGGCACAAGATTGATCTAACTATTACTTTTTTCCCCGGACCTTTACCTTTATTTTCCTATCTCGCGTCTATCTTATCGCGAATCGTGCCGTACGATACACGGCTGCGCCCCTCGGTCGGTTGGGCGGGTAAGTGGGCCGGGGGACTCCGCGCGAGGTCTACACAGATTTTTAGCAGAGTATTTAAGCACGCATCCTGGAACTCCGTCCGGACCCGGTGAATAGACTGGCTTAACTTTATGGAGATCCAAAAGAAGGGAGCTTTCGCTTAACCTCGGACAAAAAATCAAGTTCGACTTGGATATGGCATTTGAATATGACGGATTTGGATGGGATGAAACAGAATATGTTGTCTGGAAAAACTGGGCAAATAGATCAGCAATTGCATGATCAGAATTTGCCGTAGTTTTCGAATGATAGCGATGCAGGGTAACAGGCTGATTTACGCTTAGTGCTAACAAAATTATAAAACTGTTTTGGATTTTGTGAAAATAGCTTTTATAACACCGGGCGTTAAGCACGATAAAATTTGACCGAGCCCTTAGGTACCGAGAAAAGGCAGATTGTGAACCGACAATTTTAAATTTATTGAAAAGTCTGGATTTAATATTTTTTAGGTGTGACAACTCTTTATTAAACCACGGAGGTTTATTTGAAATTGACGGATAGTATAACGGAACACACAGATAAAAGAAGTGCATGAATAAAATTCGGACCAGTCATAGCCGGATATAGAAGTATTTAAAAGATGAATGTTTGCCTTACGAAAGCAGCGGATTCGTTTAACCGACTTTTCGGATTTTTTATTCAGCTCTGTTCTTGCGTCTACAATCAGCTCTAGAGTTGGATGATAAGGATCTTCCGGTTGTGTAAGTGATGTTCTTGATAGGCAAACGCCTTCTGAATTTGAAACAAAACACAAGTCCAGTAAACGTCCTAAGGAGTTTTTAACATGGTTCACTTGGGATAGCGCAATGTCAAGCAAGCCGTCAATAAAGTCATGCTGCGCTAAAGGAATATTAAAATTACCCAATAGTATTAACTGATCTCGATCTGACAGTTTTTTGAAAATGGACTGAATAACGGAAAGTCCGATTAACCGAAGGAGTCACAGTATATGTTGTATGGTTAGTGATGATACCAAGGTGGTCCCGCGCAGCAATCACAGGTCAGTTGCTTGATATATAGATGGCTGCGTATCGCCTATTTATGAATTAGAAAGAATACGATGGAAGGGAAACTGACCTTCTTAATATGCTGGCCTAAAGATTCAGTCAAAAAGAAATAAAAAATCGGTAAACGGCGATGGCCGGAGTTGTTTTCCAAATGAGCTTGTGCTCTTGGCTTTGGGTATTCAAAATTAACTGAATTAACAAATAAAACTTAAAGCTAACAGCGGCCACGCAAATATTCAGTGTTTGCGTGCACAAGCGTCCGGTCAAAACGCTACATCAGCAGTTTTGGCCGGAGTTAAGAAAAAGTCGCAAGTCAACGGCTAGTCCATTTTCTTTTGTTTACTTATGTGAACTTATACATTTGAGAGCTAGCATTAACAGAACTCTGTATGTAATGCATAATGTATGAAATTGCAGACCTCGAGAAAACAGATTTGCTTTTACGACAAGATCATCTGCTTTTCTAAGAATTTATAAATAGGAAGAGTAATAATATAGTTAACATATGAATAATTTTAAGTAAACATTTTTTGGTATTAAGTCGTAGTAAACTATTAGAATATTAAATCTGCCCTTGGACCTTAAGCCTACACGCTATTTTATTACTATTTTATTTTAATCAGCCGAAGGATTTATTAAACGACCCCAGCGTGGAAGAATTCAACGTGTACCGCAGCGCAAGAAAGCTCTTGATTTCGGAAACCAGAGTCGGACCAGCAGTTTCTCCATTGGTCTCTTCGCTCTCCCGTTCAACTCTCCCCGATCATTCTAATTAACAATTAAGTAGTTTTTATTACCGATTTATAAGCCGCCAAGTTAGGTAACCTGACTTAAATGGCATTAAGCCTCATCATGATAAGTGCTAGAGCTGGATCAGAATAAAGGGGTTACCCACGTTGTGGCTGGAACTAATAAATTTATTTTTTTCCAAAGCAAAAAAAATTCCATAAAATGTGTGTGTGAATTATGCTATTATATGTTTTGTTTATTTTTATTTATTTATAAGAAACATACAAATATTTTATTCCGATCCTTCATCGTCAAGTCCAGAATATTTATTAGAAGATTGCAAGACCTATAATAAAGATACAATAATGAGTTATTAAAAAGGTTAATATTACAAATTTATATTTTATTTAAAGGAAACGAGTTTCAAGTCATTTCTCAAGTTAGAATTGCTTTTGATTAACGATATTTCGTAGAAGAAAAATTTAAATTTGATAGAAAATGATAAAAACAAAAAAATTGAGCCAAACTTAGAATCAGTCAAGATATATTTTTTATAGTCAGCTTCCAATTCCACCCGCTTAACATTGACTGAAATTATAATACCCTCTGCAAGGGTATAATTAGGTTTAAAGTTAAGTCTGAATAACACAACAAAGTTATCGCGTTTCTGATCGTTCATGTATATAGCAGCTATATGTTATAGCCAGTCCTATCTTTCACCAAAGCTATGGCATTTCTGATCAATTAGTTATATGCCAGCTATAAACAAATTTTTAACATATAGTTAGCTGATCCTTATGAAATTTGTTAGGTCGGAATGATTGGCCAAAAATAAAACCCATAGAAAATCTTAACTTTCTAACTTTACAAACATCAAAGTTCTGGCATTTCCGATCAATCAGTTATATGGCGGCTATATGATATAGTCGGCCGATCCCGGCCGTTCCGACATATATAGTGCGTGCAAAGGAACGAAGGGTGTGTGCAAAGTTTCAATTCGATATCTTTAAAACTGAGAGATTTGATCGCGTAGAAACAGTCAGACGGTCACACGGACATGCTTATATCAACTCAGGACGCGATCCTGATCTAGAATATATTGGGTTGTCAAATAAGTCCCTTCCGTTTTTTTGTTCTTTATTCAATGCTTTATAAAAATTGATACAGTGAACGGATTTAGCTAAAATATGCGCCGTTTTGTTCGATAATGTTTTCCCACTTAGACGGCATAATACCCCCCTCGTAGAAACTTCCCTCCTTATTTGCGAAAAACTCTGACAGCCACTTTTCACAACCCTCTTTTGAGCCCAACTTTACACCAGTAAGGGCATTCGCAATGGACAGGAACAGGTGGTGGATGCGATAAAATCTCCCATTCGAGCTTCCGTAGCTTCTGACGAGTCATCAAATAAGTGTGTGGTCTGGCGTTCTCCTGGTGAAACACTACACCCTTCCTGTTGGCCAATTCTGGTCACTTCTGGTCGATCGCCAGTTTCAAGCGGTCCAGTTGTTCGCAGGTAGAATTAAGCGTCTGGCCATATGGAAGCAGCTCATGATTCTCTTCCAGTCCCACCGGCTTGGCCACTGTTTTGGACGATTCACCGGCCTTCAACCACGACCGTTTTCGCTTGATATTGTCGTATGTGATCCATTTTTCGTCGCCAGTTACCATCCGCTTAAAAAGTGGGTCGAGTTCATTCCGTTTCAGCAGCAAATCGCAGGCGTTGATTCTGTCCAACAGGTTTTTTGCTTCAAATCGTGCGGCACCCAAACATCCAGCTTTTTTTTTGTATCCAGCCTTCTCCAGATGGTTAAAAACGGCTTGGTGACTAACTCCTATCTCCTCGGCGATGTCACGAGATGTCACATGCCGGTTTTAGCTCGATGTTTTCCATGATTTGATTGGTATTCGTCGGTGTCGTTTTCACCGGCTCTGAATCGTCGAAACCATTCCTCACGGAATGTTTCTCTAGCGGATTTACCTTTTACGAAGGAAAACTTTGTCAAGACCTTTCAATCGATATTTAGCATTGCCCGATAACGATATGTAGCGCTTTGCACAAAGCCGCCAAATTCAAAAACCAAAAAAAGCGGAACGAAGATACTTTACAACCTGATATTTGTATGATGCATTCACGTAGGCGTCCCATTTATAAGCAGAAACCACAATATATGAGTAACCTACTGAGAGGTTAAGATACGATGTTGTGATAAAATTGAAAGTTGAAATCCCGAAAATGAGCAAAATTTTGCTTTCTAACCTATTTGTTCTTAACATTCCAGTAATAATGCACTTTATTTACATATACCAAATTTATAAGCAAACCTTAATTTAAAAACAAAATTTCAACAGCAAGATCCCATCATCCCTCCTGCCGTGGTTCTAACCACGACTTGGAGCAATAGCTGAAGGCAATCTGGGGATTTATTCTGTATATGGCAGAGTTAAAGAAAAATATCGGGTCGAAATATGCAAATACCTCGACAGCCGATGAAACGCTGAAGAAGCAATAAAAAATGCGGAGTGGATAGTCGAGCTTTGGTGGCTTGACAAGTTAAAACCAAGATTGGACTCGAGAAAATTAAATGACAAAGCTTTCGATGTAGCCTCTCATGGGCCAGCAAAAATGTTTTTTAGAAGTGCAGAAAGTGCCGAAGTCAAGGGGGGGCTCTGGTTAATTTCATCAAATTCGGTGTAAACACTAAAAAATTAATTCTTAAAAGTATTTCATTAAAGTTCTTATGGACTATATTAAGAATGGTATATTTATTGTCAAAATACAAAATAAATTCATATACAACATTTTTGCAGTCCAAACGCACCACTGCACTATGGTTTTTTTCGCGTTATTTTTGGTATATTTTTAGAACGAGCTTAACAAGTGTAGTTGTGTTTCGTGGATCAGTACTTTTGCAGTTGTAAAAGTTGTAAACGACAAACTATTAACCAAAGTGTGCAGATTAATGGGAAACTAACCCTTTTTGTCCCAATCCACACGTTTTCGAAAAAAATCCAAATTTTCTAGTACAATATGTGTTCAGTCGTGCTGAGCTGGTTGACATTTCGAGCAACAACAATCGCTCAGGAGACGCCGTACAACAGCACATATTGAGAGTGATTGCACAAAAACATTTAGATAACGAAACCATAAAGTCGATTAAGGAAAAAGTGAAAGGCTTTGTCAGTTATTTAAATAAACACTTGCCTAAATGTAATTCAACTCTAGAAAGATTTAAGGGAAAGCACGCAAAATGGCTTGGGAAAAGCTTGTTCATAGAAATGACTGGTCATTATGCATTGGCAAATAAATAACTGAAGAGCAATTCTTGGATTTCTACAATTCACTTGGAGGAGGAGACTACAACGCTAAGCGCACGCACTGGGGATCAAGACCCGTGACGCCCAAAGGAAGACAACTATATAAAGCAATCATAAATTTGAGCAACAAACTCGACTATGTCTCACCTGGCAGCCCCAGATATTGGCCAGCTGACCCCAGAAAACTCCCGGACTTAATTGACTTCGCTGTGACCAAGAACATCCCAAGAAATTTAGTAAGCGCCAAATCGCTATCGGACTTATCATCGGACCACTCGCCTGTTTTAATAACTCTCCTTCAAAGCCCGAAAGTAATCGAGCACCCCTTCAGGCTGACCTCGACTAGAACTAACTGGCTAAAGTACAAAAAGTACGTAAGTTCCCACATTGAACTAACACCACAGTTAAATATAGAGAACGGCATCGACTCCTGTGCTGATGCCCTGGAGTCAGTACTCGTGGCAGCAGCCAAAATCTCAACTCAAGACAATCGTGCGTAGCAACCAATACAAAACTAATCTGCAAATCGAAGAACTGGTTCGGGAAAAAACGACGTCTACGACGCGCTTGGCAATCCTGCAGATCGCCCCATTCGAAGCAACTCTATAATGATGCCACCCGCAGACTCACCAAAATAATCTCGCAAGAACCTAAGACGGGTTCTGAACAGAACTCGTCTGCATCGTAACGATCTACCAGCCCAGCAATAAATATTAGGGCCCGTTAGTCTAAATTCAGTCTACATGACTGTAAGTTATGTTATATTCTTAAGATTTCATATATTTATACCCTTGCAGAGGGTATTATAATTTTGGTTAAAAGTGTGCAACGCAGTGAAGGAGGCATCTCCGACCCTATAAAGTATATATATTCTTGATCAGGATCACCTCCTGAGTTGATATAGCCATGTCCGTCTGTCCGTCTGTCTGTCCGTCTGTCTGTCCGTCTGTCTGTTTCTACGCAAACTAGTCTCTCAGTTTTAAAGCTATCGAATTGAAACTTTGCACACACCCTTCTTTCCTTTGCACGCAGTATATAAGTCGGAACGGCCGGGATCGGCCGACTATATCCTATAGCTGAAATATAACTGATTGATCGGAAATGCCATAACTTTCGTTTTTGTAAAGTTAGGAAGTTGGGATTTTCTATGGGTTTTATATTTGGCCAATTAATCCGACCTACCAAATTTCATAAGGATCGGCCGACTATATCCTATAGCTGCCATATAACTGATTGATCGGAAATGCCATAACTTTGGTGTTTGTAAAGTTAGAAAGTTGGGATTTTCTATGGGTTTTATATTTGGCCAATTAATCCGACCTACCAAATTTCATAAGGATCGGCCGACTATATCCTATAGCTGCCATATAACTGATTGATCGGAAATGCCATAACTTTGGTGTTTTTAAAGATAGGAAGTTTGGATTTTTTATGAGTATTAAGAATGCATCATAGGAATAATTTTGGAGAATATAATTATAGAGTATTCTGCAAGGGTATATCAACTTCGGCTCCGTCCGAAGTTAGCTTTCCTTTCTTGTTATTGTTAGTCTCATATAGAGAAGATTCAATCAATAAAGCATACACTACTGGCCAAAATAATAAGTACATAGGTAAATGTATCATTTCTTGAGACATAGCTCGAAAGCTATCGAATGCAGGGCTGCTAGTTGATTATATTTTGAAAGGTTATTGTGTTGTAAAACATTTAAATCAAAAATGAAAATGGGGAACCCCATTTATCCAGTGCTAAGCCTAAATTTGTTCTGGATGGTCGTTTTTGGTCTGGTCAAAATAATAAGTACACTTCCATTATTCACAAATTTGAAAGGATTAAATTTAGAATTGGACTACGGTATGTTGATTTTTAATGATTTCTTGCATTTTAAGTATATTTGGGTTACAAAAAATTTTAGATGGGCCGAAAAAAGCATTGTACCCTGGAAGAAAAGAAGATTGCCTTGAATCTTCAACAAGAAGGAAAAAGTCTACGAGAAATTGCGACAAGCCCTGGACGCTCGGTGTGT